TCAATGAAATGTAAAAACACTACTTTTTCGAGCAGTAATATGTCACAGTAATATGTCGATACTTGTTAGATTCCCCAAACATTCAGCTTTCATATGCATTTCCCGATTTTTGCTGGTATAGTAAAACATATTATAAAATATACATAATATGTGTACACAAGTTTTAAAAATGATGTATCAGGCGCCCAATCCGGGACTTCTCTTCTCATCGTCACTCGTTATGCGAGTCATTTCTCTTACAATTCATTTTGTTAAGCGAAATGCTCGTTATGCGAGGTTCCACTGTGAATCCGTTATTTTAATTATATTGTTTGCTAATTGGGTTGCCTAGGACACAAATGGAAACCATACAAACATATCATTCCCATTGATCCGTTTCCAAGCTGAGTCACCCAGATCCCAAAAGGGCGTTGATAATCGATAAGGGCGAAGCCGCGTTGGGGCGGAAATGCAGTAAAAGCAGATGTTCAATAGCCGAAATAAAAAAAAATAATTGTTAGGTGTAGTTGATTGGCACGGCAGACTTGATTCTCACGTACATCCTGTCTGTATATGATTACACGTTTCACTGCCGAAACTAAAAAGGTCTCAATTTTCATAGTGCAGTCATTAATTAATAAGAACCTAAGAATATTTTAGATATTAACTCATAATTATTCAAGAAAGAAAATATTTCTTGGTTTTAGTAATTTACATTTTACTAACTTGTTTTACAACAGTTATTGAAGCTATTGAAAGTTTTCTTTTCTTATAGGAATGACTACAGTTGTGTCAAAAGTTTATCGATGTTTTCTGAATAATACGTTTTTCGTTTTTTTTTTAATATTTTGATGGCTTAAACTTAATGTTATGACTTAAACTCTAATTCTATAATAATAATAATGGTTATAATGTATGAAAACTAAACATTATTTTGTCGTATTTCTTGTTGGATTATGGAAAGATTTTTCTCTTGTGTGGTTAAAATCAATACGTTGTAGTTTCTATACAGCGAGTGACCTAAAAATGGTTACTTTGAACATCTTTCGCTGTTGAATGACTTTTTAGGAATAATACAGCAAGATTTGGGCTATTAAGATGTTTTTTCTTAATTCAGTTGAATGATTATCTAATTAAGTTGAGAGAAAACGTTTGATTTAGGCCAATTGAAACGATTAATTGAAGCAGTTTGTGTGAACATTCTGGTGCACACTACGATCATATTATAATAACGTGGGCAACGGAACGATAATTTCCATAACGAATAAGAATGACATAAGCAGGCGGCGTACGATGTAGTGTGAGAGAGCCAAATAAGGCGATGAGATCATTGCGTAGCCTTTAAAAAAATCAATATCGCCGTCTGGTGACTCAAAACCTCCGCAGAAGCCATAAGGAAGGAATTCAACTAAAAATGGATGAAAATAACAGGAGGAGAAGACTATTTTCGAAGCATGCACATTTTCCTTTTGGGAAACGAAAATAGCTTTCCAAGAGTAACGACCTCCTCAACGGATCCACAGAATCGAGTTCATCCAAAGAAATCCGCGGAGCGTGAAACGGTGTGTCTGTCTGCCTTTCCGTTCCGAAGAACCCGTTACAAGAACGATGGCCTCAAATGTTTAATGCATCTGCCTTAATTTAACCATTTTCCAGCCAATCCCTTAATATTAGAACCATTACCCAAAAGGCCCTCGATTTATTTCTAGAGAAAAGCAACATTTCTTGTAATAATAAGTAACGTTAAATGGAAATACGCAATTTGCTATTGAAAAAAAGAAACGGTTGGCTTTGGAAAACAAAAATTTGAAGAACGGAACCGCCGAAAAATCGTTATTTTCACCGCGACGTTGTCAGATCAATTGGCACTAACAAGCACTACGAATTGCGTTGTTATCGAAGTTCGCGATAACTAGAAATGATGTGGAAATGCCGAAATAGATGAGATATGTTGTTTGTCGCCTGTTTTGTCTAATTTAGGTGTTGTTTTTGAATGATTTTTCGAAGGCGTCGCGGCGTGGGTGCATTTGGCAACATCCATGACGCATTGGCCGTTGGCGGTGCACCAATGGGAGGCCGAGGCGTTGGCCGTGACGTAGCAACGTGCATAAATAGCCGGCGCTCGCTCTTGTTCATCACAGTTTCTCCAGTTTGGGCAGCCACATTACGAGCTCGTGCTGAACGTTCGAAACTTCATTCTTCTAATCCAGTTTTAGAAAAACCAAAACCTTCAACAAAATGGTAAGAAATTGTTTATAATTTTTTTTTCCAATATCGGTTTATTTTTGTCGTGAATTAATGATATCTCTGGGAGTAATTTTAATTTCGCATAGACGCCGGCCGGTTTTCGAAGCCACGCCGAATGGAGACGCCATCTTGGCATTTTCTAGGCGTCGGCTTTCTAATTTGATTCTGGACTTTTAGTTCTAATTAGATTAATAATAGTCATTTATTTATCAAATCTAATGCGATTAAAGATAATTCTTTTTCCGGTTCTCATTAATTTCATTTTAGAATTTTCTATGAAAATCGATTTCAACGAATGCGCATTGCAAATTGCGTTTCAATTTGATGAATCATGAAATTAAATTTATGTATTTTTACAGCGTGAATGTATCTCAGTCCATGTTGGCCAAGCCGGTGTCCAAATCGGTAACGCCTGTTGGGAGTTGTACTGCTTGGAGCATGGAATCCAACCTGATGGCCAGATGCCATCTGACAAGACCGTCGGAGGTGGAGATGATTCCTTCAACACCTTCTTCAGCGAGACCGGCGCTGGCAAGCACGTGCCAAGGGCTGTCTTCGTCGACTTGGAACCAACCGTAGTCGATGAGGTCCGTACCGGCACATACCGTCAGTTGTTCCACCCCGAGCAATTGATCACCGGCAAGGAAGACGCCGCCAACAACTACGCCAGAGGTCACTACACCATCGGCAAGGAAATCGTCGACTTGGTTTTGGACAGGATCCGTAAATTGGCTGACCAATGTACCGGACTCCAAGGATTCCTCATCTTCCACTCCTTCGGTGGTGGTACCGGTTCCGGTTTCACCTCCTTGTTGATGGAAAGGCTCTCCGTAGATTACGGAAAGAAGTCCAAGTTGGAATTCGCCATCTACCCAGCTCCTCAAGTCTCCACCGCCGTCGTCGAACCATACAACTCCATCTTGACCACCCACACCACCCTCGAACATTCCGACTGCGCTTTCATGGTCGACAATGAAGCAATATATGATATCTGTCGCCGTAATTTGGACATCGAACGCCCGACTTACACCAACTTGAATCGTCTGATTGGTCAAATTGTCTCCTCGATCACCGCTTCCCTGCGTTTCGATGGTGCCCTCAACGTCGATCTCACCGAGTTCCAAACTAACTTGGTGCCATACCCACGTATCCATTTCCCTCTGGTCACCTACGCTCCAGTCATCTCCGCCGAGAAGGCTTACCATGAACAGCTCTCCGTTGCCGAGATCACCAACGCTTGCTTCGAGCCAGCCAACCAGATGGTGAAATGCGACCCACGTCACGGAAAGTACATGGCCTGTTGCATGTTGTACCGTGGTGATGTCGTCCCCAAGGACGTCAACGCTGCGATCGCTACCATCAAGACCAAGCGTACCATCCAATTCGTCGACTGGTGTCCAACTGGTTTCAAGGTCGGCATCAACTACCAACCACCAACTGTCGTCCCAGGTGGCGATTTGGCCAAGGTACAACGTGCCGTCTGCATGTTGTCCAACACCACCGCCATCGCTGAGGCCTGGGCCCGTTTGGACCACAAGTTCGACTTGATGTACGCCAAGCGCGCCTTCGTCCATTGGTACGTCGGTGAAGGTATGGAAGAAGGTGAATTCTCTGAGGCTCGTGAGGATCTTGCTGCTTTGGAGAAGGATTACGAAGAAGTTGGCATGGACTCCGGCGAAGGCGAAGGAGAAGGTGGCGAAGAATATTAAACGAATGGAAACAGTCATTTGTATTGATGTTTTTTTCATAATGGTTTTTGAATAAAAATTGTTTTGACTGCTCTCTGACTGCATAAATACTTGTATTACTTTCTATCCTATAAAATATACACCTACACTATATTAATTCAAACTCATTTTGAATTTAATATTAAAATTATGAATTCTATTGCTATGAACTCATTAGATTCTCATTGAATATTTGCGAAAGTTTTGAAGAAAGTATAATTTCTTTGCTAAAAATAGAACAAGTTGAAATTTTAGTAATTATACTTAGGCTATTGACCGAAACCTTAAGATATAAATAGTTTTATTAGATTTTGTGTCCGTTTTAGTCCCTTTTATTTACATCATTTAGTAACAAATAACTAAATAATGTCATTGATACTAAAGTATTTACAAACATTGTAAGTTTAGAAGGATGCAATATCAAGAATACTGCAAAAGGTATCTTCTAGGTAACGATGACATAAATACATTTGTTAATGACATTGACATAGAAACAGATTAAAACTTTCTCTTGTGTTTCAATAGTTTTGAAATAAATTGTTGCATTTATAATTAATTTAATATTAAAATAAGTACATTAGTTTTAATTATTAATTTATGTAATTTATAAACATTGTTGTATTTATAGTCACAGAACGTAAATATAAACTTTACGTTGTAGTGACTTTCCGGCTTGATACGTTGGCAATACTGAAAGACGCGCAGATTTTTTCGTCCGCACCAACTTCATGCCATTCATCGATCTGCCATTGGTGTGGTCCTCTTCGCAAGTATCAAAAGCCACTTTGTGTTCATTTTATGTAAAGGAATATCATTTTTGTTCAAAGAGAATTACGAAAGGAGAAAGGCAACGTGCGATGCTCAGTGTAAACGGTGGCACGAATTCCGTAAGTTCCCTTTAAATTTCTCATTTGCCACTAACAAAGGTCCTCGTTTTTGCAAAATTTAAATTAACGGAGTGGAGTGAAACAAACAAAAAAAAACAGAAGAAACGAAAGCGTCGACTTTGTTGTTTACATACTACTTTTTTTTTTGTAGGATCAAGAGCAAAGCATGGATTCCGAGCCTCCAGCTCCAGGTACCGAAGAGGTTGCGGACGACGCCTCCTCCTCGGACGTCCCGCAAACCTCAACGACCACGGTCACTGCTAGTACGACGACGACGACGATTTTGAAACCCGCGAAACAAGGTGAGTCCTACAGCTGAACTTGTAACCCTTACGCCTACTTAATTGAATTCGTCATGAAGCAGTCAAAATCAATGAATACAAATGCAATTGAGAATGGAAAAGGTTAAACTAATGTGAGTTGTTTTTCGGTCTGCTTGAGATGTTGCAGAGTGTTGAGAACCTCTGGTTGCGCGCTTGCTGGTTCGTTTCCGGATTCCAGATCACACACAATCATAATAACCGTAATCGTTGTTGTTGTTACCCACCGCACGGTTACATGGTAGGAATCTAGAAATCTCAGAGAGACATGTCTATGAAATACATATATTTACTATAAAACCGTTTCAATGAATATGACAAGACCGGGCTATATGTGTGTCTTTACTATTACTTTTTTTTTGTTTGTTTGAATTTATGGCTCGTTTTTATTTTCTTTGTGTTTCCAGATTAAAAAATGCGTTTGCAGCGCCCCAAACATCTACGATCCCAGTTCTCAAGTTCGCAGATTTATTATGCACATATTTATATATACTGTGTGTGTTTCTTTATATTACATATCCGTTTTGTTTTATGATTTCAGGTTGATTGTTTCTCTAGTAGGGCAAATTAGCTGCATAAAAACAATATTTATCACAAAAAAAACATGAAAAGAAAGATTTCACTCTTAAATACTGAAACATGCAAACAATCAAAATTCAAATATTTTTGGGGGGATGTTGTTTGGTGGTTTTTTTTAAATTCCGAGCAGTCGACTTCTTTAACACTAAAAAAAAAATAATTAAATAATGATATTAATTACTTTTGTTTTTCCCTGTTATTGAAGGGAGCAGGAAAAGTAATTTTTAGTGAACCTATAGAATCGAAGTGTCTTCATATCTGTTCTTTTTTTGTTGTAGATGTTTCGAACGGCGTATCATACATTTATGATATAATGCAAACTGGAGAGGTTATTCCAGGTAAAGGTATTTCGAGTGTGAACTGCTCTCGTAATTAATCTGAATATGCTTTAATTTTTGTTCTAATTGAAAGTTCACGTTTTAGGACCTGGAGCCAGGAGCAATACAATTGCTGGCATCCTGGGCGGTTCTTTGCCCAAACTAACAACCGATCAAATGGAGGCAGTGAACAAAGCGAAAAAATACGCGATGGAGCAGAGCATAAAGATGGTGCTCATGAAGCAAACGTTGGCACACCAGCAGCAGGTTATTATTTATCATTTATTTCTTTTCGTTTCGAGCTTCTTTCATTTCAGTTCTTGCTTTCACATTTGTTGTTTTCATTTGTCCGATCGATTTATGTGTCAGGCTTCTATGATTTCATAATTACTTTATTTTTTTTGTTTCGTTGAAAATATTGTTGCTACAAAAAGAGAAGAGAGAAAAGCACTGAACGATTTTTTTTTATTTTTGTTACTACCATGTATACGAAAAGAAAAACATATCTATGCTATTATCTAATGTGTCAAATTCGCAGAAAAATAAGACGTTCCAACGGCATCAGGTGCTGGTGTTGATGTGCAGGTTAGTGGGTTGGTGGTGGTGGGTGGTGTTGCCCCGCCCAGGGGGCGAGAGCTCGCCCCCCGTGTCGAGCGTTAAACGTCAACATTATAGAAAGAAAAAAAAAATGCAAACAGAAAGAACGAAACAAAATCATTAGAGAAAAAAAGAGAAACACAGTATAGTTGTCATTTGTCTCCTCTGTTGTTGTTACAGCAAATGGCTAGTCAGAGGACGCAGGTTCAACGGCAGCAGGCTCTCGCCCTCATGTGCAGGTTAGCACCAACCATTACTTACTTAAAAAACATACAAAAATCTATCTATATATTTCTATATATACCATGTCTCTAAAAACAAAGTTATTAGTGATTAAGTGATGATATAATTAGATAATATGATTGAAGTTGTCGAGTTGAGGCGGAATCCTCCTCCTCCTCCGACTGATGAATCGTCTTTAGCTGATAAGATCTGATTAATCCTAATAATAAAACTGTTTTAACTAATCGTCATCACCTCGCCTAAACCGCTCCCTCTACCCTCTCCTCTCCCATCATTTCTCTCTCTCCAAATGCACCCAAGACAACTATCCGTTCGTATCATAATAATAATATTACTGAACCATACTATTCGTCACGTTATTCTGGAACGCATAAAAATGTTAGGTTGTTGAAACGATGTTTAGGGTGTACGTTGGGAGCATCAGTTTTGAATTGAAGGAGGACACGATCAGGCAATCATTCTTGCCTTTTGGACCGATCAAGTCTATCAACATGTCCTGGGATCCGGTTACGCAGAAGCACAAGGGTTTCGCATTCGTCGAGTACGAAATCCCGGAGGCGGCTCAACTGGCGTTGGAACAGATGAACGGTGTCATGATTGGCGGAAGGAACATCAAGGTGGTCGGCAGACCAAGTAACATGCCGCAAGCCCAAACAGTCATCGATGAAATACAGGAGGAGGCAAAGAACTACAATCGGATTTACGTCGCATCTATACACCCAGATCTGACGGAGGAGGATATCAAGAGGTAACTAATAACTAAAAGCAGCACGCATGCATAATGATAACTCTTAGGATGTTACTAATTCATTCCGTTGCAGCGTATTCGAGGCGTTCGGACCTATCATTTACTGTAAATTGGCGCAGGGGAGCTCCGCTCACAAACATAAAGGCTACGGTTTTATCGAGTACGAAACAACTCAAGCCGCAAATGAAGCGATAGCCAGTATGAATCTATTTGATTTGGGAGGGCAATTCCTGCGCGTTGGTAGGGCTATTACGCCTCCTAATGCTCTAATGGGCCCTTCATCAGGTTCCAGTATTATGCCGACTGCAGCAGCTGTGGCCGCAGCCGCTGCCACAGCTAAAATTCAAGCTATGGATGCGGTGGCGAGCAACGCCGTCGCCTTGGGACTTACCAAACTACCCAACAATCCTCCGATAACTACACCCAGTATGCCTTATATACCTCCACCGGGCGTTGCCATACCGCAGCTCACGAAACCCGTCGCCTCGCAGCCTGTCATCCCGCCACCTACCGTAATCACACCCACAGCAATATCCATGGTGAATTCGAGTTCACAGCAAGAAGCAATAAAAAGAGCGCAAGAGGCGCAACTGAAACAACAGGAGGAATTACAAAAAAAACTATTAGATCAGAACGAGCCGCAGACTTTGCAGCAGCAGGAGAACATGTCGATAAAGGGTCAAAACGCGCGTCATCTGGTTATGCAGAAACTCATGAGGAAAGTGGATTCCAGAGTGGTGATACTGAGGAACATGGTGGGGCCAGATGATGTCGATGAATCGCTTCAGGAAGAAATACAAGAGGAGTGCAGTAAATTCGGTGGCGTAGAACGCGTTATTATTTACAACGAGAAGCAATCAGAAGATGACGACGACAATGTGGTTGTGAAAATATTTGTTGAATTTGCGCAAACGAGAGGTAACGAATGAAATCTAATTGCGATGTTGTTGTTGTTTCTAATCGATCGTTTGATTTTCAGAAGCGGAAAGTGCGAGGGACGCTCTCAACGGAAGGTACTTCGCAGGAAGGAAAGTCCGAGCCTCGCTTTACGATCAGACGCTCTTCGATCACAGCGATTTCTCCGGTTAAGTTCTCTAATACCTAATACTTAATTTAATTGATTTTTTTTTACTGTAAACAAATTGTAAATATTTAATTTTATTTTCTATGAGAAGAAAATGTATTTTTGGTTTTAATAAAAAAAACTTATCAAGCGTTCTCATAGTAGCGGTTTATGGACTCGCCCGAATTCGTCGAGAACTGAATGAGGATGATGATGTAGGTGGTCAGACCGCCGATTATCGAGAACAGCAGGCTGTAATCGACGGAAAAGAAGCCGGCCGCTGTGAACTGCAGGTCTTCATTCAGGATCTGCATCGAGAACATCTGTATCTGATCCTTCACCTTTATTTCCTCAAAGTCCAGTGCGTGCAATAGTAAGCCTGTCCTGTTGCACTGAAATGTAAATTGTATTTTATTACACAGTATGTATTGATCGTCGTTTCTACATGTATTCTACTTACTTCTCTGACGACCGATTGGCCGCAATAGCAGAGATAATATGTGTTGACCAAATAAGTGGCAATACCCAAGAGCGTTTGCGGGACGACAATCAGCACCAGGTTTCTGTTGAGGTACTGAAACGCAACGCAGATGATGTAACAGCCGATCATGATGGTGATGAAGTTGACGCTGAAAGTTAGGAGGAGCGTGAAACCGAAACATCTGGAGATGCCCTTGGCCAGGTGCGTCAGTTCCAAATGTATCGGACAAACGAGACGAAGTACATCCAGCTTCTTCGAATCACCGACGTTGTCGCCCTTCAATTCTTCAACTTGAGCATTGAGAATCTTGAAACGTTCTTTGAGGATGTTAATGAATATGCCGATGTTTTCGACGACGCCGAAGCTAATGATTATCGGTACGTAAAACAGGGCCATGAAGAAGATCGTCTCTTTGCTACCGAATCTCATGTTTCTGTCTGTGTATAGTTGCAAGGAAATGATGACGATGATGGCTCCGACGTGAAACAAGATCCTCCTCAGCACGTACTTCTTCAGATCAGCGTAGAACAACCAAATGCCCAACTTGTGGAGTCTCTTGTCGACGACGCTCAATGCGGCCATCAGTTCGAGGTGTAAATCTTGATAGTAAATGGCCGAACCCCAGATGGTAATGATCTGGAAATAACCGAAGACGTACTCGAGGAGGAACGTTTGCGGGATCAGCGACGGAGAGGTCAGGGCGAAGAAATAGGCAGAAACGGAGGCCGCTACAAAGTAAAAGCAGATAACGGTGAGAATGACGTATTTGCGCCAACGCGATTTGCCGTAGCCCTTTGAGTCCACCTTGAAGGTGGTTATACCCAAGCACACTGAAATGATGTGCAACGGTATCAGCGCTTTCATCATCGAACCCATCTCGCCAACTGACTGACCTGAACTAATTGAAATGGGAGAAGGAAGACTTCCCCAGATCGATCGCGTTTATAGAAATTAGACTAAAGAGCCATTAAGTGAATTAATGTTTATTGATGGCAACGCGTGAATAACCTAATGAGGCTGTCATCGGTTTTCAATAGATCGACAATGGAATGGATGCGATGCACGGTGAAGTCGTGTCCCGTCTCGTTGTGCTCGTTTCCATGGGCGTTGCCAATGATGCGAGCGTGGAATTGGGAATTCGTCGAGGCTATGGAGACGTCGTCCTGGATTTGAGACTCTTTCGGCGGCGGTTTGCAAGGCTCAAATAACTTTCTGACCTTGTTCGAGGATCGCATCCCGCTAGGCGACGACGGTGAGTACACTTCAGCCACGTGCGAGAAATCGATATTCTGCCTATCGTTATCTCCTCTGACCAAAGGCATATTGATTAACATGAACGAGCTGGACGTCTCCTTCGGTCGCACCAAGTCCTTGACTTTAACCTCATCGTAGTTGACGTTTGCCCTGAGTAATTCTAATGAGTCTCTATGAATGTACATCCTGGATAGTAAACTCTGCCGTTGCGAATGCTGATCTTTCATCTTAGGCGGCTTTCGATGCTCCGGCACCGGCTTGCAAAGCAATCTGCTTTCCTCCTCCAATTTATTCTTCTGCCGCTTCATTTCGCGCAGCTGAATCGTCTCCGCCGATAACGTTTTAAAACTACTATCATCGTTCACCGAACATCTAATCTTCCTGATCTCGCTCAAATTCAGAGTGTCGTGGCTGCAGTTCATATGCACAGTCTCCATATTCGTGTTCTCCTTATCAGATTTCTCCACGTTTTTAACGACCGTTAGCGAGTCGGGAACGGCGAGCAGAGCGCATCCGGATGGAGTACAAACGTAAACGGCATCGGTCGTCGTCCTGTTTACAGACTTCTGCATCTCCAACGAATCCTGCGTCGCCAGAATACCAACGTTCTCGCTTTCCGTTTCCGCGCTCACCTTCGTGAAGTGAACGTTGGACAAATTGGATCTTAGATTCGGTACGATGGAGACGCTGCTGTCGTCCTTGAAACACGCCGACCCTATGCCCAACTGAAGCGACACCTCGTCCGTATCTTTAAGAATGTTGATCAGATTCTCCACCTCCTTGTTCCAAATCATGCTCGATTTTCTGATCGGAATTCCGGCCGCGACGCGATTCCTGAAGTCCTCCCTCACGTACAACCTATCGTTAAAGGTGATCGCCAGCAGCTCATCGTTGGATGCATTCGAGTCGCGCGGCGTTGGAAGTTCGTTCAAACAATCGTGATATTTGTCGATGATTTTCTTCTTCGGCGTGTTTTTCAGCAAACTGAACGGACCTGAAGTTGTCCTCCAGGGCATCAACTGCCGCACCGGACGCCCCTCTTTATCCGTAGCCGCAACAGCTTGCACCAATTCGAACGTCATCATCTTCTGGATGCTCAGCAGGAATTCGGCTTGCGTCGGATTTGCTCTGAGCGCGAAATTTATGAACTTCTGGAACTGTTCCAGAACACCGAGCATGCACTGCTCACGAATCTACAAAAATAAAGTTAATTAATAATAATCACAGTAAAAAATTAAGATGAATCTCACTCGAATTTTCTTCTCCTTTTCCTCCTTTTGTTGCTTGAGCTGTTAAAAAGAAAGCAATGAATGTTACGTAAGAAATGTTTTCCAATATCCGTTCACCTTATCCATTTCGCGATTGAGGAAATTCTGATTCTGCTCAAGTAAATCCACCTTCTTCTCGAACGTGTCCAGAAGATCCTTCTGTTCCAAATAGCATTTGCGTCTTTCTGCGCAGAGGACGTACATCAGATTGGCGATGTTGTTACATTGCAGGTTGTGCTTCAGCCGTTTCAAAAGTTCTTCAAAGACTGCCGCATCTTTTTCCGCTTCCGCCAAGAACATCTCCCTTTGGGCCCTGAAAATATTAAACAACGATAAGCAAACAGTCGCGTCTTGCAACTTGCTGTAAGTTTACTCTAATTTAGCGTTGAAGACTTCGGTCATTTCGCGTTCCTGCTTTTCCAATTCCTCCAAGAATTTCGTTGTCAACGTAATGACAGTTTCCTCGACGGCCTGCTCTATCTTCTGCGTCCACAGAATTTCTTGTTCTCTCAAAATACGCTCCGTCTCTTCGGCCAACATCTCTTCGTAAGTTTCCCTCAGTCTCGCCTCCACTTTGGCCAACAACTCTTGGACGAGCACTTCGAATTCATCGTTCAGCTGCATCAGTTTCAATCGGAAGAGTTCCTGTTCCCTTGCGACGGCCTCCGCTACAGCCTTTTCGGTCTCTCTGGCGGCGAGGAACCTCAGCGTCTTCTCCTGGTCGTTCAAAGCCTTCTTCAGCACTTCCTCTCGGATACGCTCCAGTTTCAGTTCCACCTCGTAACCAATCTCCAGGATGCCTTCGTGCGTCAACGCCTTGATGTGCTTGTTTGTCAACGGCGGCTTCAGCACGAGTTTATTGATGAGGAGGTCGCTCGGTGAAGACCAAAGGTTATCGCCAGGACCTTGCAGTTTGTTGGCGATGGCCATGTCCTCTTTGAGCGAATCCGGGCAAGCGGCGAAGAAGACATTGCTTAGATTATTGCCTAAACTTTGCCTGACTTCGCCGAGATTCGGCACCTGCAGATTGGACAACTTCTCCTTGCGCGTGTGATAACTCTCGCTGAAATCTAAGGCAACACAACATCATATAATAGTTACGCACAAACCCAATTAAACGTAAATAATACCCATATTATACAATAATTTAAGATATACTCGAAATTTATGCAACGCAGTTAATTTTGACGTTTACAATTTTGACGATATCATTATTTACCTACCGTGCAATCATTACATTTTCCGTTTGATCAAAAATTTTCGAACTTCATTCAAGTTGAGAAAATTGTATTTTATGAAGGAGAATAGAAACGAATCGAGAAAACAATAAAAACAATCAGTTTTATTTCATAAGAAAAAAAAAATCAATATAAATAACTAACACTAATTTCATATTTTACACGAGAGTTAAAGTGTTTGGAGAGGAGAAAAAAAAAATATATATAGAATCGGCTTTGTTCTTCAATAATAAATTTGTTTTCGTTTAAGACGTACAATCAATCAATCAATCGGGCGCGGTTGTTGTGATTATTTCCTTTTGTTTCTTGTCGAGGAGGGACAGTAATTAAAAGCAACTATATTTACACGAAAAGTTATTAATACTTAATACTTCTTTTCCCTTTAAAAATTTCTTCTGTATATATGTTTTATGTGTGTGTATGTGTTTGTCTTCTTTTCTTGCATCTTGCATTTATTATTCGCTTAAAGATGATTCTGGAGGAAGGACAGCAGCGTGGTTTCGTAATGTTTGCTGGCATCCAAATGGCGCAACGAATGCCTCTCGTTCGGGTAGATCTGCAATTGGTACGGTTTCCCCGCTTTGATCATGCAGCTGACCAGTTGACTGGTGTGATAAAAATGCACGTTCTCATCGATCAGACCGTGTATAATTAAAAGGCGATTCTCCCTGCAGAAAACAATATATATATAAATGTAATTGTTGATATTGACGGTGAATGCAACTCACTCTTCGGGAAATTTGTTGATGTAATTGAGCACCGATCCCTCGTTGTAGCCTTGAGGGTTGTGATCGGGTAGGTCCATGTAGCGTTCGGTGTAACCGGTGTCGTACAGCATCCAGTTGGTTACAGGAGCACCAGCTATGGCAACTTTGAACACGTCCGGATGCTGCACCAAACCCATCAGACTTAAGTATCCACCGTACGACCATCCGTGGATGGCCACCCTTTCAGTGTCTATGTAGCCCAACTTATCCGATAGCCACTTCAGCACCTCCACTTGATCACTCAACTCCACCGTTCCCATTTTCCCCCTCAGATACGACTCGAACTCCAAACCCCTGTGCCGCGAACCTCTGCAAAAAATATCAATTATTTTGTTGTGCTCGAAGAAGAAATGCAGCAAAAAAATGTGAACCTTGAATCGATTGCGATAACGCAGTAACCTCGGGCGGCCAGCATGTGTAACCGCAATTGCCGCATCCCCTTAAACGTATTTGAAACCAATTGCACTTCGGGACCCCCGTAAACGTTCAGTACTGTGGGGTACTTCTTTCCCGGCGTGAAGTTGTGTGGCTTGAACACCATGGCGTACAGACTATGGCCTGAAGAGATCGAATGCGTGTACAGTTTCGGACAGTAGTTCCTATTTACAAACGAAGAAGATTCCTGCAGGTAACCCAACGGCGTAAGTTCCACCCCGTCGGCTGTCCAATCGGTGTGCGTTATCCGGAACACCTGACACGCAGGGATCTTCTCGATGTTGCTGTAGACGGCGATCATCATCGTGCATTCCTTTAATGATGGTAAATAAATAAATGAGAAATTGCATTAGTGAAAAGCGCTGATACTCTTGATATGTTGCAGGTTCTCACCTTATTGAAGTCGACGACGTACGAGAATCCTGGCATCGTGAGCAGCCGTACTTCGCCTGGCCGCCGCATCGATACGACGTAAAGGTGTTTCTCGAGGACGGATTCCCTCAGACCGATGAAGTAGACGAGCTGCCGTTCGTTGTCCACCCAGATGCCCTTCTCCTGCACCTCCCATTCGCCGCTCGTGAGCGCGATCTTCTGCAAGATCTTCGGTTGCAACGAGACGTAATCCATTGGTTCGGTGAGGCCGTTCGTGCAGGGCATGATCTGCGCAGATATCAGATACAGATGTCTGTAGCCCGTCTCCTCGCTCGCCCATATGAACTCGATCTCGTTGTGCTGCTCTTTCGCAGGTAAGAAGTAAAGAAGATCGTGCACGTTCACCCAAACGTTCGATTCCTCCGAATAGATAACTTGAACCATTGGATTACCGATGTCGCCCGGGTTGCTGCTTCCTTCGTCGTACATAGGCAGAACCTCCGTAAAGTTGTTCAGTGACAGAAGGACGAGTTCCAGACGTTGCTGCTTCCTATCCAGAAGCTGCACCCAGATGTACTCAGAGTCCGGAGACCAACCGGCCCGCACGATGTACTCGACCCACGGGAACAGCATGTTGATGCTGAACTGCAATTCCAGCATTACAATGTCCGTGATTTGCCTAGTGTCGCTCACGCGGAATTCAATCAGTTTCAAATACGATTTTGAGTTGGGACTGCCCGCCCTAGGGAACCGAAATTCCTCGACCTCTCCGGAACCGGATTGCGAGGATGGCAGGCAAAATATTTTCACATCACCATCGTCGACCTCCTCGTAGAGGATCCTGTACACTCCGTTCTGGGCTGCGGGTTGCCACCAGTATCCTTGGTACCTGCAGAACTCCTCTTGCATCACGTAGGAGGGCACACCGGCGCAGAGGGGATCGTCGGCCAAGTTTCTTCCGCCTTTGTGGGCGTAGGTGAGTCGAACGTTGCATCCTGATACGGTATGCGACAGCCAGATGTCGTGGTTGCAGATGTAAGCCACGAGATCCGGATTGGACGGACAGATCTGTGGGTTGAGCTTCGCTCCGCACGACATCATTCGTAGCTTCGTCGGAAACAACGGGCCTGTCTAAATTGGGAACAACACATGTAACAAATGTTAAATGAAAATTTCTAAATATTAAATGCACATACTGAGTATCCATTGTCAACACATTGAAACAAGCTGCTGCTGGCAGGGAAGACAATCTTCCCTGACTCTGGATGTATTTCATATGAGTTAATTCCCCATGTGGCCAATCGTTTCCTTTCCCAAAGCAACTGTTCCTCCCTTGAGAACTTGTTCCCCGCTGCGACAGTGGGGAAATTTGATTCAAACACGCAGTGCCACTGCAGCCTGTGAGTCAGCTGCCCCTCTGTGGGCACATCAGAGTACAGCAGTGTGCTTTCACATCCATTACCAGGTGTGCTCAAGAAATATATCCTTGTCCTACCATCCTGCAGATTTCGAAATGATATATTTGTTGGTACCATTGTTGACAGCGAGGACAACTGCCTTCTCAGTTCACTGACAACCCCCTTCAGTTCGGACCAGGACAGTTTGTCACCCTCAAAGGATTCATCACAACACTCAGGCTGTTGCATCTTGCCTTCTAATTTCCTTCCTTAAATTTCAATATACAATTTTTTTTTTTTTTTTCGGGTTTCTATTCGAAAGCGAACGGGCGAAATTCGCGGTGCGATTTTATAGGGGGGACGGACAAAAAAAAAACACAACACCAAATTCACATCTTACGCCCTTAAGGTTGCTTCCCCCTCACTCTCACTGTATTTACTATGTGTGAGTGTGTGTGTGTGTGTCCGTGCGAGTGTTTGTGTGTGTGTGTTCGTACATATATATATATATATATTTACAAATGTATGTACATAATATGCGTGTATGTAAAATACGTATTTACGTACGATCGAAAAAATAAATACTTCCAAAACAGACACACACACATACACTAACTAACCTTCTTCTCTTTCTCTCAACTTTCAACTTTACTGATTCTCTCTCGCGCTCTGACAGCAAGTTGACAGATCAGCGTGAAGTTATAGCTTCGATGAGAGATCTGGGTGAACGAGGAGAGATGATGAGGAGCACTTACGTTTGAAATTCACGAGAGTTTCCATCATCACGGAAAACAAGCTAACCACGTTGAATTGCATAAGAGCCTTAGGTTTTGGAGGAGAATTGCAGCACTTTTGGTGCGACAACGTGTCGGTGCCACCTTTATCCTCTTTCTATATCCTAAAGTCCAAGAGAAATGAACGTGGAGTTACGACGACGGCGTCCGCAACAACAGAACGAAAACAAACAAAAAAAATAAATAAAGTTACAGATAGAGACAAACAACAGAAATGAAGAGAAACAACAAAAATAGAAAGGAGATAATAATAATGTTGTTTTCTTTGTTGTTGTTATTGCTGTTGTGCGATGCGTATCCGGATTGAAGTTGGCAGCAGATCAAAGGGATCCAAGTTCTGCGCTTTGTTCAGCTTTGTTGTTTGTCGGTTGGTTTTTCGGACCTGGACTGGCTGTCATTGGAAGTTGGAGAAAGTTTCGTAGGTTGTACTGGTCTCTCTTCCTCCAACAGTTAGTTCTTTGCTTGGTTGTACTTCAGTCGTCTCCCGTCGAGCAGTGTGTAATTATTTGCTTGTTTAATAATATCCTCGTTCGTCCACGCGGTTTAAAAATACCACTCGCACACCGAAATCAGCAACGAGAGAAGCTCATCTCAATGGAGGGCTGTTGCGCCGTCGAACGTGAAGTTGATAAGGTCACGACCAAGTTCCAGAGCATCAACGAGCATGCAGGTCGCACTCTCCAGGATCTCGTCCTCTATATTGAAAATCTCAAAGTGGAATTAGAAAATGGTGAGCTGTCACACTCGTAACGCACTTGTAACGAACAACTTCTGCACTGGCCAGAATTGAATTCCGTTCCTTTATCTTTCTTCCTCTTTCCTTCTTTCTCTCTCACCATTTCTTCTTTCGTTCATTCCATCATATCAATCTGCATGCGACAACAATAACAACGAAAAGACATAATTGAACGGGATCACGTTGCGTTGTTATTATTCTGCCAAATCATAATATTTACTTTAGGCAATTTTGACACCTGTCAGTGTGACTTTGACTTTTCGTTTAAATAAACAAAGAACACGCGCCTTTGTCTTGTATTGTCATGGCACCGTCCAATATGCAAATAGATTTTTAAGCTTTTAGATGAGCCAATTTCTATTTCAATTAGTCATTGTCACTTGATTTTTAATCAATTCTGAAATTATATAAAAAATAAATGCATTTGATTGGGGGTTGTCTTGTGCACAAAAATCTAAATATATAAATACAAGTAATCAGAATTTTATATGTCAACAATTCAAGTTCAAGTACTTTTCGTTTGTTTTGTTATTTAAATATACTGTTGTTTTCGTTTTGTTGCCATACGCATTTGCGACTTATTTTTGTCGTTTAATTTAAGCACCGGAAGACCATGAGCTTACGATCGGCCAAAAGGATTTGCTTGCTGCGGCAATGTCGAAGGTGAAGGAGACGATCTCGCGTTTGGCTACTGATCACAGGGATCTGCACGGAACGGTGTCCAAGGTGGGCAAGGCCATCGACAGGAACTTCGTGTCCGATTTCGCAGCAACCAGCCGCGAGGATGTCTTCGCCGGACAAGAAAAGCTCGAGCTGATCAACAAGGTCATCTGTCAGCATTTTTACAGGCAGGGAATGAGGGATGTTGCCGACGAGTTGGCCAAGGTAACAATAACAACTATAGTAGATGTTGTACTTATTCCAATTGCTTTTCAGGAATCCGATCTGCAGGATGTCGAGTTTCAAGAGCGTGAGCCGTTCACGGAGCTGAATCACATCCTGGACAGTTTGAAGGATCGAAATCTTGAGCCGGCGTTGGCTTGGTCTCTGGCCAACAGGGAAGCGCTGTACGGCATCGAGTCTTCGCTCGAGTTCAAGCTGCATCGACTCAGGTTCATCGAGTTGTTGAAGAAAGGTCCCAACCATCAGACTGATGCCATAACGTACGCTCGCACTCATTTCAGGCAGTTCGTGGATCGTCACGAGAAAGGTGAAATATTATCGATATCATACATTTTCTGGCTTTGCCTTGTAAAGATGATTTGTCCGTTTTAGATATACAAACGTTGATGGGAATGCTGCTCTTCGTGCCGAACGGTATAGGGACGTCACCGTACGGCGGTCTCCTGCTCGATTCAGAGATGTGGATGGACGTTTACGAGGTGTTCACGAAGGACGCATGCAGGATGTTGGGGGTCAGCGTTCACAGTCCTCTGAGCACCTGCGTTAATGCTGGATGCACCGCCATACCTGCGTTGCTCAATATAAAGCAGGTTATGATGCAAAGGCAGGTTGCTGGCATTTGGAATGGCCGCGACGAGTTGCCGGTAAGAGTGGTCACCGCAAACTATCAGTACATTGTTTTTTTACGACATCCGTGTTTGAAGATCGAGATTGATTTGGGAACAGAAGCGCGATATCATTCAATGTTCGCCTGCCCCATCCTCAGGCAGCAGTCGACAGAGACGAATCCTCCGATGCGACTGATCTGCGGCCACGTCATCTCCAAGGACGCCCTGGATAAGCTGTGCACGGGCAACAAGTAAGCGCGGTAGCATTCGTGACGGGATCAATTAACGTTTCTCTTTTTAGAATGAAGTGTCCGTACTGTCCAGTTGAACAAAGTCCGAATGACGCGAGGCTAATATACTTTTGATTCGAGATCTCCTCTGTTCTCTTTCATTATTCTATATATCTATCGTTTTACATAAGCAATAGGATGTTTCTTTTTTCGTTGGTTATTATATGGATTTTAATTTTGATTTACTTTCTATAATCATATTATTATTATATTGTTTTTTTTATGTTTATCAATCATTTCATCTTCTTTTTTAATTGTGATCTCTATTTTGTATTAAGTAAATGTTGAATAATTCGTAATATATATATAATCTATATATATATACATCTATATATACATATATTTACTAATGACGATTATATTTATAATCCATATTTTATGTGGTGTAGTAGCAAATAAATATTTATTCTCACAGATCATATAACATGATGTGATTCTTTTCAACCTAATCAAATCATTAACAAAACAGACAAAAGAAAATTGCTTCAATATTTCAATTAGTTTGCACAATTAATATATTAGATTAAGTCTACAATTTGAATCAAATCAGTTGGTAACACTTACTACGAAGGTGGTGGGAGGACGCTAATTTTGCGCGGGATTGATGCTCAGTCGACGATAGGTGTTCTTTGAGTCGGCGTGCGGTCCCGTTTTGAATGTTCAAAATTGTTGTGTAATCCATTCAAATCCAGTGAATTACATCGTGTTTTGTGAAATCCATAACCGGAGAGCACAATCCAATTGGATTTTGGCAATTGACAGTGAGTTATTAATTGATATTTAATAAATAAAAAGTTGATTAACATACAACGTTTAGAAAATGATCAATCGCGCATACGGCTTAATTAAAATTTTCATTATATCATTAAAAATCAAAGTATCGCTTATAATTAAGTGGGTTAATTAATTAGAAATTGCGTCGTTTTCAAAATGGCGAAAGGACGCGTCCCCTCCCTCAATTTTTATCTTTGTTTTGTCAAATTTCGAGCTCGGGAAGTTAGCAACAATGCATTTTTATTGCAAAAAAAAAAGACAAGTTCGGTCGAAGTTGGCACGATTGTGGCGTCCTCACGCCACAGTAGTGCGCGTCTCTCGCTTAAGATAACTTCGTCTTGATTACAAATTCGTGTAAATTCACGGATTTTCAACAATTTTCCAGTAAAATTTAGTGAAATAGAAAACCACAGATCTACTGATGACGATGAGTTGTGAGTATTTCAAATAATAAGCAATTAACACTCAATAATTGAATTCCCTAAAGATTTTTTTTGTTCGTTATATGGATGCAAGGTATTAATTATACCAGGTCATTCTGTGCGTTAATCACATCCGCAGTGATTCGTATAGAATGGCAAGACCGCCTGTGCTAAA